TGTTCCATGGTAGAAGTGGTCTCAGGCAATAGGATAGATTAGTGTGATTCCACCAAGTAGGAACATTTAACACAATTAAATTTATCTTCATTTGTGTAGCGCTTTTACAATGTAGATTCACATAGAAGATTATAATGAATTGAAACAGTGTAGTTCAACAAACCAATCAGCCAATCATATTTAAGGTTTACATTTACAGACAATTAGGGTTATGTGTAGGTTATGTGCTTCCATGTCATTGTTATATAGCTATAAAGGATTATATTTAGATATGCTATGGATTTTATTTTTGAATAGGAATAATGTTCCAGGAACCAAAATACATGTTCATCCAGGATTGCATCCTACTTGCCAATGTCACACCCAATTATAAAAGCTGACATATGGTTTTTAAGAACATGAGGAGTTCAAGACTTTGCCCTGGCCTCCAATGTTTTTAGATCTCAAAACAAGTGGATGTCTTATGTGGGTTTATCAGTCAATCTACAGCAGCTCAAGGATCCACAAGGATCTGCTGCCAATGTATTGGTACAACAGTACCACACACTCTCAGAAGGTATACGCGAGCTGTCACTAGGCTGGTACCTTTTTCAAAAGGTACACATTTTACCCAAAAGGTACATATTGGTACCTCAAAAATATATAGTAGTAGCTAAAAATTTTAAGAGGAACACTTTTGTACTTTTTTAGTATAAAAAATATACTGGGTCATTCAAGGGTTATTATACCCTTGAAGGATTAATATGGACCTATAAGGTACAAATTTGTACCTTTTGAAAAGATACCACCCCAGTGACAGCTCTCGTACCTTTATTTCTGAGAGTGCAGGAAAGCTTCAGTAGTCTTACTGAGTCCATGTCAGACTTTTATAACCATAAAAAATGTACAAAGCTTTAGCAGGAACCGGAAGAATGTGCAATAATTAATGGTCTTAAATAAAGGTACAAACTGAAGCAAAGGGATTTGAGGGAATAACAAAACTCCTTTAATTTGCCTCAACAAATACTACTTAGCAACTGTTTTGTGTGGCATTAAATATTCATGGCAATGTTTTACTGAAAGTTTTATGAAAAAAAAAAAAGAATAGTGTGCATAAGCTTTGTCTTGTTTACACCTATTTCATTCTCGGTTTCTCTCCCATTTATAATATATATCTTGACCCTCTCTATTATTATTATTCTTTTTTTAAGTTGGAAAGCCGAATTGGAGTTATCTGTATTTAATGATGTGGTTTAATTATGTATTTCATTAAAAAAAATTCATGTTAGCTACTAAACAAACTGCTACTACTCACTCTTAAAAGAATGTTGTTTTGAATTAAATTGGCTCAGCCAAATGCCCACTGCTCATATTTTACATTAGATTACCGCACTAAAAGATTTTCAGGCCTGTTCTTTACCTCACAGAGGTGCTCATCAAAGTTTAGCACATCGCACATCCAACTCTAAAGTGTAGAGTGGACGTGAAGACCCTAGGAGCCTATAATTTCATGATATCCACCATGAGAACAAAATAGGCTTTTTATTTTATAAAAGGTTTTCATATATCTTGGCAGTCACGAAAGCAGTCACACTTTGCTATCCATTACATTTTGCCCACAAAGAGAGGCACCAGTATCATGAGAGAATATCCACTTTCATGTAAGTCAATTGGAAAGCATATCTGTATACTTCTGCTTGTCAGTCAGTCAGACTAGTTTGTAATCATATTCATGTAAAATAAGCTGCCGAGAAGTGCAACTGATCCTCAAGGTAGCATATATTTTAGCTTTCCATTCTCAAAGTCCTGCTAGAAGCACTTAGGTTTGATGAGATTAGCTGTAAACCAAACTAAGCTAAACAGTCACATATGTGTGTGATTTTACTGCAATACTGTATGAACAACAATTTATTTTTGCTAAGTGTTTGCTAAGTTAGCTTAGCAGTTCATAAAGCAATTGGATTTGACTCATCTGACTGTTAAGTCTAAGTTCTATTTGTGTTTTTGTCCAAATGTTATGTTTAGCTACTTCATAGCAGTTCTTCTTGACTTTGCAACATTATTGAATATTCGCATGGCATTCATGTTCAATTTCTTTATTTGGCATATACTCTAACCTATAGCAAAGATAAACAGATTTAGCTTATAATCTACGTTGTATTCACAGATATTTATTATTTCCCCTGTCCTTGACATTTACAGAGGCAAGAATGATGAGCTCTATGTTTTTCCAGACTACTCGAGGTGCATGACTATAAACTTATTCTTTCAATCTCATACTCTCTCACTCCTGGCTATGATCACTGATCCGGTTCAGTGACACCCTGTGTGCTGTGAAGCCTCACTTTCATTGTCATATGCCAAAATATTTACAGCGCTTCAGAGTATTAATGATTAGATGTAGCATTAATTATCGTCAGTTATAAGGATTAATATTAAATAAGGATTAATATTAGAAGTTTGCCTTTTGACCTCTTTCCATATCCTATAACATTAGGAAACCATATCCATAATTAATTTGTGTTATATATATACTTAAATGGATAGTTCACTCAAAAATGAAGCTTCTGTCATCATTTGCTTCCCTTCACTTTTTTAAGACCGATTTAGTTTCTTTCTGCTGAACAGCAAAGAAGATATTCAATTCAATTCAATTCAGCTTTATTTGTATAGCGCTTTTACAATGTAGATTGTGTCAAAGCAGCTTCACATAAATGGTCATAGTAACTGGAACAGTGTAGTTCAGTTTTTAGTGTTTAAGTTCAGTTCAGTTCAGTTTAGCTCAGTTCAGTGTGATTTAATCATTACTGAGAGTTCAAACACTTAAGAGCAAATTCATCGATGCGTAGCTCTACCAATCCTGAACCATGTGAGCCAGTAGCGACAGCGGAGAGGGAAAAAAAACTTCACCTGATGGGAGTGAAGAAAAAAAACCTTGAGAGAACCAGACTCAGTTGGGCACGACCATTTTAATTTCTCCGCTGACCAAAAGTCTTGTGCAGAGCTTCAGTCACCGCGGTGGAGGCTGCAGGCTGGTTATAAAAAAAGATATTTTGAAGAATGCTGGTTGACTTCTCAGGCCTGTAGCCAGGGGGAGTGTTCAGGTGGTTCGGAAGACTCACCGCTGACAAAGGTCTAAAATTTGTCCCGTATGCGTGTGCTCATTTGTCCTATTTTGACTGCTATAGTAACCTGGATAGTACCCGGAAATTAACACGTCTTCTGCAATTGGGTTATTGACTTTCTGACTAACAGAACTCAGAATGTTAGACATGTTCTCCACCACCGTCAATCTCAACACAGGTATACCACAGCCTCTTCCTCTACTCCCTTTTTTTACCCACGATCGCAGGCCCATAAATGAATCCAACACCATCATCAAGTTTGCAGATGACACCACAGTGATCAGTCTCATTAACCACAATGATGAAACTGTCTACATGGAGGAAATACAGCAACTGGCCACTTGGTGTACACACAATAATTTGCTCCTCAACACCAGCAAGACCAAGGAGCTCTTTGTGGACTTCAGGAAGGGACAAGTAGGGTCACATGATCCTATTCACATCAATGGGATGGCCATTGAGTCTGTTTCATCCTTCAAGTTCCTGGGGACCCACATTTCAAAGGACCTGTCCTGGACCACCAACGCCTCCAGCCTGGTCAAGAAGGCTCACCAGCGCCTTTTTTTCTTAAGGTAATTTAAGAAGAACCAGCTGTCATCAGCTGTCTTGGTGATCTTCTATCGCTGCGCAATAAAGAGCAACCTGACCACAACTGTATCACAGTCTGGTATAGAAGCTGCTTTGCCCAACGCATCACAGGGTCCCAACTTTCAGCCGTTGAGGACACCAGAAGAAACACTGTCTGCGCTAAGGACTCCTCTCACCTTGCTCACAGATTGTTTTCTGTTCTGCTTTCCAGCAGGCACATCTGCCCCATCCTGGTTAGACCTAAACTGCATTTCATTGCTTTGTAATTGTACATGTGTAATAAAGTTGAACCTAATCTAATTATGGTAAAAAAAATCCATCAAAAATGCTTTCAGACAAAGCCGAACGGCGTAAAGATGCTTCGGTGTGACTTCAGGTAATCAGTTTGGGCCAATGCTAACAAATATTTTTCATGAGTAGCTACAACATCCAGCTGTGCGAAAAAACATATGATCTGATGAAAAAGAAGTCATTTTTCACTACTGTATTTTAGACACATTTTACAAGTGACTTTTATTTTAAATAGTATACTTCTTGTACTTCTTGAAAAAAAGACCAATGAAAAGACGTGAAGCACCAAAAAAAAAAAAAAAAGAATTTAAATATTTAAAAAATATAAATAGATTTAAATATTATTTGGCTAAAATAGTCAAAAGGTGCAGTTATGATGACCACCCTTTTCCAGTTAAATCTGAATAGTGCTTAAAATGGCACTAAAAAGCAGTATTTTGAATTACATATTTAAACTGAGAAAATGAGGCATATAATTGCAAACCGATACACTTTTTGAGGAAAAAGAACCACCTTTTTACCAGGCTGGCCACGTGCATGCTTCTACAGTATTTTTCCTACTATGGAAGTAAATGGGCGGTTCATTCCCCCGTGGCGACCCAAGATTAATAAAGGGACTAAGCTGAAAAGAAAATCTAAATGGAAGTAAATGGGTCCTAGAAACCAGCATTCTTCAAAATATCTTATTTTGTGTTCTACAGAAGCAAGAAACGTGTAAAACATGTAAAGGTTTAAAACTTTTACACCAAGGGAGAAAAAATTATAAGGTCATTTTTGGAGTAAACTATCCTTGTAAAGTATGCTTCTTTTATCTCATTTCAGTTAGATTAACAAGAAAATGCTTCTCATCATCATATAATAAAAACTTTTCAGTTTGAACTTAATTAACTAAGAACATATATATCGAATTATTACTAAAGCATTATTAAAACTAAGTGTATAAAACAGAAGCAGCACAATAAAAGCGAACCCCTAATCGGAATTTTTGATAAATGGGTAAATGTTTACGATTTAACCGGAAGTGACGCTGTTGTAGGAAGTGTTCAGTGGAGCGCGCGGGAGTTTATTGTTGCTATCTAGGGAGCTAGTGTTTATTAGCGTCCCAATATTATCCAAATAACACTAAAAACAGCAGAGGAGTTTGTTGAGAATGGCTCAGCTAAATGAAGTGGACTTACCGCCGAACCTGTCATGTCTCAAAGTACGTTCAGTTTTTCTACTTTTATTTAACGTTAGATAAAAATATGAATTTATGCTACCAGTACACCAGTGGGTCACAAGCATATAACTTAAGATAACTGTTCCGTTCTTGATAAAGCACAACAAGTCTATTCACGATGTATTTGACTATTGTGTTTATGGCTGTTAATTTACTGACATTGATCGGAATTAACTACTTTGCATGTTTGTGTAACGTTACATCAGTAAGAATCTGTCATAACATTACGTATTTCCAGCGGTAACGCTGTTCAGATAGTATAAATCGTGAAATCGCATCAGATCTTGTATATTTTTGTGTGTATCAGCCTATGGATACTCTCCTCCGATGTCCCATCTGCTTTGAGTTTCTCAACATCTCCATGATGACCCAGTGTTCACACAACTGTACGTATAAAACGGTTACACACAGTTTATAACATGTAACGTTATGAGGGTTTATTTATTTATCTACCCATGAGCAATATGCAATTGACCATATTTCTTTTTGCTTTTTCCAACAGTTTGTTCTCTGTGCATTCGGAAGTTTCTCTCCTATAAGCTGTTGTGTCCTGTGTGTAACTCGGTAAGTGTCATGTCAAAATAATTCAATAATAATACATAATTTTCTTGTCGAATACTTTACAAGTTTAGTGTAAAATGTGAAGTCAGGGCTTAACATGGCACTGGTAAAAAGCTGATGCATTCATTTCATATCGAAAACTTTGCTGTTATCACAGTAGTTTAATTAAGTTTTTTTAAATAATGATTTTTATAAAACAGTTTCATTAATCTTTAACTCTGCTTGCAGCCATCAACAGAACAAGACCTCAGGAACAACAGATTATTAGACGACTTAGTTCAGAGCTTCCAGACGGCAAGGTAAAGCTTGTATTTGTTGTTTAAATGAGTGTTTATTAATAGAGTTTGGAATTTTGAATATATATATATATATATATATATATATATATATATATATATATATATATATATATATATATATATATATATATATATATATTCTAGGAGCCAAGACACATATTGTAGTCCCTGGGTTTCTACTTCTATTTGTTATTTTCTTACACTTTAGGAGCTTTTGGGAAAGTTATGAAATGTGTCCTCTGATTCTAAGTGCACACTAGGACATGATGATCCTTAAGGCTTCACAATATAATTATTACAAAGTACATAACGTATAATAATTGTGCAGCTGCAGTAAAATAGTTACTGTAAAACTTTATTTTTAATTTGCATATGCTTTAGGGTCTGTTGCAGGGTAAACGTTTCAAGTAAGCTTAGAAAATGAATGCACTAGTAAACTACGTTTGTAGCTTAAACAAATATTTATAATATTTGTAGTTATGCAGAGAAGACTGTGGAGAGTTATTCTGATTATCATATCTCTGCACCAAATTCCTGAGAAAATATAAATGTGAATAAAAAGTAATTCATTTGTATTTAGGTCTATGCTTGTAAATTGTTTATTATAATTTAAGCAGATTGAATGCAAATAATAATTGGCTGTTGCTTTCAGTGCTGTTTCCTAAATAAAAAGTCTGATAGACTACTGTAAAACAGTATAAAATTGTTACTGTATTTTAGTGTACGAAGTAGCTTGTGCATGTAATACATCTGCACTATATAATACACACAGATTGCATACATGCTGAAAACATCAATAGGACCTTGTCCATTTTACATATCTCCACTATTTGTACTACACACACCCCTCACTGCTAGTCTGTCAGTCATTTTTTGTGTGGAAAGAGGAAAGTGACCACCACAATTTATATGAAAATGATTGCTTTGTTTTACAGTCCTTGTTTTATATATATATATATATATATATATATATATATATATATATATATATATATAAAGACTATTGTATTGATACCTGCTGATTGAGGTCGGGCAATTTAAATGAAGGCAATATTCTTGCGAATTTTGTGAGTAAAGCAGATTCTAGTAAAACTCTCTAACACATGCTTTAATGGAGCAGCACCAGCTACACTGAATCCTAGTGCTCTGACAAACTATGCAAAATCATGTTCAAAATTGAAGTTGATTTTATAAAGCGGTATTGGCCATTGTTGAAAATGGTGCTACATCTGAAAGATCAGATGTAATTAGGGTTGTCATGATACTGGAATTCGCTACTAATCAATAGATAAGCTTTAAAAACTTCCATTTCCTGTCTACCGAGCACATTCTTAAACAGAGCTGATTTGCCATTGTGTTCATGTGCTTAACAGATAGGACTGTCATTGGCAGTGAAGGTCATCAGTTCACCAAATTCACCGCTCTTTACTGAGTGTAAATACAGATACAGGGACACTGCAGTGTTTCAAAGTCATGTCGATCAGCTGGTTTGTCTATAAGCTGATACACGAGCGATCCGCTGATGAATTGTGGCTTTAAAATGCTCCAGTGTCCCTGTATTTAAGTTAATTAAATCCTTCTGTGTGATGATTCAGCAATCATGTGTTTATTAGTCAAGTTGAAAGATGAAAGCAGTTAAATCTTCTTCTGTTAATCAATTTGGGGTTTTTCTAGGTTTCTTCTTCGTGTGTATTTGGATTTTAAATGGCCTAAGCCCTGAAATTATCAGTGTGTAGGCAGAGTGAAAGGAGAGTGGAGTGGAATAATTTGTACAGTATGAAAACCTTTGATAAAAATATTGCAGTTTTGCGGTATTATGACTTAATTTTTTTTATTGTGTGGGTAAAAACAACAACAACAACAACTGTTTTTTCCATTAAACACAACTTTTTATTTTCAGAAACATTTAAAATGTTTCGTTAAAGTAAACATGCCAGGCTAAAAAGTTAAAATAAATCATGGACTTCTGCTATTTTCATTAGTTTCAAAAATACAGATTCATTTACAACTTGAAAAGGGATATTTTGATTTTTTTTTCCCTTGGAGTAAGCCGCTGCACTGTTCAGGTCTAAAACATGCTTGGATGTTGGCGCAAAAGCGAATTTTTTTTAAAAAAGTTTCCTGAATCGTGGGCTGACCAGTAGCTTTTGATGAATATGGTGTTTTGCTGCTGGAGACAGGGCCGGATTAAGAACATATTGGGCTGTAGCAAATCCAAGGGCCCCCTTTTATCTATTTATTTTTTTACCTCACAAAAGTGTGTGTGTGTGTGTGTGTGTGTGTGTGTGTGTGTGTGTATATGTTGTTCTTATTATTAAATTGTTTTTTATTGTTGTTGTTGTTATTATTAATAATAATAATTTACTAATTCATATTATTATCTAATTTTCCAACAATTGATTTATATTTGGTTATTATATATTTTTCTATTTTATTAAAATAGGCCTGCAAGTAGGCTATGCATAATTAATGACATAATATGAACTTTAAAGTTTAAACAGGCTCCAAAAATCAGCAAAACAAAAAACATTTGCAATACTTCCTAAATCAGTGCTTTAAAATAAATTCTTTAAATAGGATATTACCTTTAAAAAGTTTCTTTCGAAGTTAAGCTGACCATGAATCCCTAATGATAGGATATCTATCTTTGAAATCCATGCGTCTAATATCCAAAATATCTTCTGAGTAACATAAGGCTAGCATCCTTTTTTTATTTTATTTTTTGCATCAGATATATTGTCTGATATAAGCCAGTGCCAATAATCCATTAGAAGACTAAATAAAACTAAATAAAATAGTTCTAAAAAACTTAAACCATAGGAACGTTATAACAGAAAATTTAAGCGGTTTTAAACCTTGATTTTTTTTTCAAACCGCGGTAAACCTTGAAACCAATTATACTCCCATACCTAGTCATATTTGGTCTTTATTTACTCAAGGATTGTAAAAGGTAGAGATTGAATTTGGTGCTTCTGTTACGCTGCATATGGAATTCCTTGTTATTGGAATGTCTTTGGTTGATATGACTGTGAATGGAATCATTCTAAAAGTACCATGAATCTTGATAACCTGGTAAACACTTCCCATTATTTATGTCTTTGTCTGGAACACTCATTAAGATTCAGCTACAGTCCCAGGCACGCTGACTGACCCTGTCAATGAATGTTTGATCGCAGGGGTTTGTGTGAGTAAGCACTAAACATGTTTGTCTTATGAATGATGTATGAGCTTCAATTCTGCCATACGCACACTGGCTTCCTGATGGAATTAGCCTAAACTTGCTCAGTGTCACAGCCGGTCTTGTTTATAGTGTAAAACAATCCTAAAAAAGGCAGGAAGACAGTAGAAAACTTTCAATGACACAGGTACTTAAATCTAATATTCGAAAGGATTCTATACAGCTTAAGATTGTTTTAACCTGCCTGAAGGGATCATAAAATCGGCTAATTTATAAGAATTAAGAGATTTGCTTTAGAATTAGTTTTAATACTCTGTTGAATGCAGTTGTTTCTTATCCTGTTTTACATCTCGTGACAAACCTGAACATGTGATTCATTTGCCCTAACAGCCTAGTCTGCTATGAAATTCTGGATTTCCTTTAACAATCAAATGGGATTTTATTTTCAATATTCAGGTCTACATCTTTGGCATAATTCACCTGCTGCAGGACTCAAGGAGGCTTTGTTTTTCTAAAAAGAGTCTTAAGTTCTCAGACTGTAGACATGTATCATGCAGTATTAAAACTAAACTGACCTAAATTAATTGTGGGGAGGTAAGCATGATCGAACACCCAATGAGGGTGGAGAGCATGCTCAGAGCCTGGTGGCTAATCAGCAGGCCAATCAGAAATAATAAACAACACCTGTTTAACCTAGTGATTGGGCCGTAGAGACTCCCTTCTTAAGCTGCGGTCACACCAGAGTTTGTGTGTACGTAATTCTGTCGTACGACTCTGCGAAAAAGGGCCGGATTAAACTAGATGATTAGATATTTAAAAAGCAGTCGATTGCTCCATATTTTAAATTTCTGTCCAGAGAGGATAATTTTTTGATCCTCGATTAGTCTCACTCTCCTAGTAATGTTATTTCGCAGGTCAGAGTTCACCAAGCTTGAACTTTGAACCGCAGCAACCTGCGAAACTTGACGCATGACCCCGCGCTTCCAGTCTGACGTATTCGCGTGCGTATGAATGGAAGTCTATGGGAGGAAAAGCCCAGTGTGACCGCATCTTTAAGGAGAACGGGAGGAGCAGTCGGGAGAAGAGGGAGAGGGCACACACACAGCTACTGGTGTTGTGCACTTATATAAAAATAAAAACTTCTACTTACCTTATATTGCCGACCCTGTCTTCTTCATCCCACACAACAATGAACTTTGCTACAGTAATCCACAAGCAAAGTTTTGTATATTTTTTAACCTGATGTGATATCTTCCATTAATACATTTTCCCGCTCGGTTCCTCAGATCAGGTGCAAGGTAGTGCATAGTCACAGTACACAGTAGATTTTCTTTGTGATACTGGTTTTTAATTCAGTCTCCGTAGGTGCCATCAATCTCTGTATTGTCTGTTTGTGAGTGTGCCTAATATAGTTGGATGTGGGAGTTTCAGATGGCCATCGGGATGAAGTGAGAGGTGCCTTATGGGATACTGTTTTAATTTCCTGTTTTCTCTGAGTGATGATGTCAAAGGTGTGCGTCATCTTTGTGGACAGGAGATTGGGGACAGTTATTAAGGCCTTTGCTATAAATATAGCATTATCTTTGTATGCATTTCTTTTAGGAAGTATATCTTCTTGCGAGTTTAGATTAAAAAGGGGTCATGTCATGAAAAATAAAGTTAAAATGATCTTCTGGCATAGTAGAGGTTTTTGTACCATTAGGACATCATGCAGGTTTTATAGCTTGAAAAAAATCCACTTCAATTTAAACTAAGCATTTATTTAATTAGGCTTTAATAAGACTGATATGATACAAAGTGGCATGACATCACAAGGCCAAAT